TATTTATATATATATATATATATATATTTATATATATATATATATATATATATATATATTCAGTGTATTCAGTTGTCGAATGCCTCCCTTTTCGAACAAGTCAGTTCACAAACAAAATTTTCTAACCAAAAATTGCCCCTTTTGCTCTACTATGTGAGTGTGTGGCTTCAATCGGGATATACACGCTAAGAACTGCTGTCTGATTTTGTCGGTATTTCTTGCGTTATGCCATTTCTTCTATTATTTCATTTCATAAATCACCATGGGTAAAGAAAGGTAGTGAGAACAACAATAGAAGTGAAGAAAGATTGTGTTCGCGTTTCCGATCTGGCTTTACGGTACGGCTTAGCAAAGTCGTCGATTCTCAGATCTCTGGTCTCAGATATTAGAAGGAGTGGAAAAGTTGCTTCTAATTTGGATCAACGAAAAGCAGTTGGTCGGTGAGAGTGTTTCGGAGACGATAATTTTTGGAGATTTTTCCATCTTTCCTTGTCTTCTTTATGTACATTAATACAAATTTTTACCTGGGGTGCCCAAGCTTTCGATCCCCACTGTATTAGTATAAGCATATATGTAGTAGATATATTTAGTTATATTCAGACATGCTTCTTTAATCAGTACATCTAAAATCCAATACCATGTAATCATCATCATTTTCTTTCTCATTTGTATACCTATAGCTATATATAGGTATACATATATAGGTATACAAATTTATATATTTCATATATATACTGTATATTCATATATTTCTGAGGTATATTCATAAATGGTTTTGGCTGAGTTTTTTTTCCCAGGTCAAATGTGTGTGACCTGGAGTGTGTGTGTATTTGAATCGATCAAATCAGTCAAAAAAAAAAATCAACTGTGCAGTTCTGCTGTTCTTGTATTATTAAATGCAGTTTAATTAACTTTGTAATGAAACAAACTGGAGGTCATGTCGTGACTCAATGACCGGCATCTCATTTAAATTCTCCTTGGAATGACTGAATCTTAGCTTCTGGGGCGCCAAAGTTTTATGTCACAACACTCGGACTTATTTTCAAAACACAGCACAGGGTAATGAATTCAGATTAGGCCTCCACGTCTACAGGCGATATTTCTTTCAGGCGTTTGTGTGTATACAATATAAAAGGCCTGCAAACGCGTGCATAAGCACTTTTGTCATATGAATAGGTACATGGGCCTCCCCCACTTTACACTTCTATACCTGCATCCTGTTTTGACTTCAAACGTTGACATTTTAACACAATTTGTTTCATTGTGTTTTTCATTGCAACAAACCCGTCCTACTTGTAGTACTTTTGTTTGTTTTTGAGCTAAATATTTTATAACGTTACCATTTATTCTATAAAAATACTGGTGGAATTGAGCACTTTTTTAGGAGGCTTAGGGCATGACACTTGGTAAAGATGACAAAATAGTATCTCTGTAATGTATTGACATGTATGCTCAAACTTCAGGAGTGAGGTTAAGAGATTTCAAAATAATCTTTACGGTATTGTCTTTATTTAGCATTAATTGCTAAGTGCTAGAAGAACCGTACCTTATTTTGGACATGAGATCAAAAATTGTCTGCGTTGGTAAAAAAAAACAATAAAAAAATTGTACAAGAAACAATGTTCGACGCTATGATGAATTTGATCAAGTTTCGGAAAGTTAGCTTTACTTTAGCTCCCTAGAGCTGGAACAAAACAAAGGAACAAAAAAGTAAATAAAAAAAAATGAATAAAAATATTGGGTCAAAGAACGCAGAACTCTAATTGGTGCTTAATATCTTTTTTTTTTTTTTTACAAAATTTCATTCCACTTCTATTGGTCAGTAACTCAGGTCAGTCACCATCTGCTGTTAATAATAATAATAATAATAATAATAATAATAATATTTATTAATTTTTATCTAAAATGTTTTACCTAATACAGAAACTCATTTAGGTTGAGACCAAATGGTAATGAGATTTCCGCCACTAGCATTTTTTTTTTTTTTACAAAATTTCATTCCACTTCTATTGGTCAGTAACTCAGGTCAGTCACCATCTGCTGTTAATAATAATAATAATAATAATAATAATAATAATATTTATTAATTTTTATCTAAAATGTTTTACCTAATACAGAAACTCATTTAGGTTGAGACCAAATGGTAATGAGATTTCCGCCACTAGCATTATAGCATGTTTGCTTAACATAGTCTCATTTCTAGTGCAACAGTAGACAAGTGACTGGAGTAGGCTAGTGCTCTGGGCTGCAACCTACCAGTGATGTCCTGTGCTCTGTTTCAGCACGATTTTGGAAATAACAGACCTCAAACTTTGCCAAAATTTAAAAAGATTCTACAAAGTGTTATCGAGAAAAGGTGAAAAATGTTGCGCTCTGCGGTCAATGACCACCATCTGACAAATACTAAATGAGTTTATATTTTGTTAGCACAAACTAAAGTGTCTCTGCAGCATGGATTTTATTTTGTATTTTGGGAAACGCGGTAGGTTTCGTTTTAGAAGTAAACACTGTCTGAACAGAGACATGACACCATTGTTTTAAAGATTGCAGAGAGGACAAACAAAAAAAGACAAAGACACTGCCCACTGAGATGGGGGGAAAAATATGAATGAATAATTTGAGTTCAAGAAAAAAAACCAAAAAAAAAAAAAAAAAAACCCAAACAATCAGATGATGTCTGAGAGAGTTACACTAAGTAAAATTGTTTTCTTATGCGCAGTGGCGGCTGGTCCTTAAAGGACGCTCGGGGTTTGTGAAATATAGTGTTTGTTTTTTGTGTAAGAATGCCTCAACTTCGTTTAACTGGTATTAAATAATTGCTTTTCGTGCCCCACCTGGAATATTTTTCACCAGCCACGACTACACATGTGCTATTAAAAAAATCTGACCATATCAAAGCAATTAGGAAATACATTAAAACACAATTGAAATGCT